TGAGGCGGCGGACGAGGAGGAACGGAGACCCTGCAGTGCTGGGGAAAGCGGACGGAGCCTGGAGGGGGTCGGTGTAGTGAGTCTGGCCCTTCCGTCACCGCCCCCGCAATCCCGTTGCGAGTTAACTGTGTTTCTTCCCTTTAGCAGCCAGCAAGTTCTCTGTCAGGGCGCGGGGGTGCGGAAAGTCAGGGCAGGATGAGGGATAGTTCAGCATCCAGCTCAGCTGCTTCATCAGTGACAGATCTGTACTGCACCCCCTCCAGCAGTAGGTCACACCTTCTCCTGAGCACAGCAGGAGACTTCAGCTTGAGGGCCAGCTTATCAGCTTGTATGAGGCTTTATGAGGTACCTTCCAGCTGGGCGCCCTTCTGGGCTTAGATGATCTTAGGGAGTGAGCATTATTTAATTTGCTTTGTGAGTATTTCTGAAGTAAACCTTGCATCTTCCTTACAAAATACAGAGTTAGCCTGAAAATGTCTGAATTTGCCTGTCGTAGTGGGACTTCCAGACCACTTGTGTTTTTTCTTGTCTGGGCGTTAAGAGAGAAATGCAGATTACAGCCTGCCACCGTAGCAGGACACAGATCGTTCTGTTCCACTGGCTGGAGTTACCATTAGTTTCTATAATGCTGATTTCTAAGGAGTTCACATCAGGTTTTTACTATGGTAGTCTAAAAAAAGCAACCCTGACACTTAGTGTTTATGTAAGAATATATATGTGTTTATAGAATATGTAAGTGCTTATATATAATACATGAGAATATGTAATTTTATATATAAGAAAACAGATAAGGTAGATAAAAATGGAAAAAGTAATGGTCTCGATATCTGGTGACTGAAATGGTTTTATGGACAGCTTTCCTGAGTGGTGATATGGACAATCAAACTCCTCTTTTGCACTCTCCCTCCCTTTCCTTCGCACAGAGAATAAAAAGCTAGGAAACAAACTTTTATATGCTTTACTTGCTTTTACTTCAGATTTTGGGAGATTTCACATCAGCATTGAGATACGTGCATATTTGGTACATACCAGTCTGTGAAAGAATAAGCAGGCTGTGGGTGAATACAAAATGCATCAGTGTTTAGAGTTAGGAAATCTGGATCTGCCCTCTTCCTCCTCACAGAAAAAACAAACAACCAAACAAACCCAAAACACCAACCCAACCAAAAAACCACTTTGATTTCTTAACAGACAGCAAAATCAATAAAAATATGGAAACAATTTGGTGTTGATGGGGGCAAGATGGCTGACATTTTTGTCCTTTCTGAGGACCACTCATCAATCTACCCCAAATCAGGTGTTGCTTATGTTGATATTTGCACGTATTCATCATTTTGTAAGAAGACATTCAGCTTGTTTTTCTTGAGTTTAAATTGGTAATACCTAGGGGGAATGTTCAGCCCACTTTTGACTAGGAGAAGGAAAAGAATTTCATGATACCGTACCAGTTTTGTTTGTGGGACTGCATAGTAAACTTCCCCTAAATGGGAACACACACAGGTACTGTATTGGTGCAGTTGTACTGAGGTCACTGTATCAGTATGATTGCTCATGTAGTTCAAAGCAGTGAAGATATACTGGGAGAATAAAATTCTGTTGTTCCTGCAAAGGAGAATTTACCTAAACAGTTGAACTTGGATAACTGTACTAAGGTAGTTCAACTGACGGTGAATTTTTGCAGTGCAGACAAATTTTTTCCCCAGTGTTTGTTAGAAAATGTGGAATTGCCATTCTGCATTCTGTTCTTTAAATTCTTCAGTACTTTTTAAAAGTATAACAGTTGTAATATTACCCCCTCCCCCCCAAAAAAGTTACTTTTAAGTGTTAAAGCCGCTTTGAAAGGTTCTAGTGAGTTTTTTGGGTACTTTTTGAGTTTTGGAGGTTCTTGAGCTGAATGTTAATGCCTGCTCTTGCTCAAGGAAGAGAAATGGAATATCATTTGGAATTTAGCATGCATGCCTGAGATACTTTGTAGAATCAGATTTATTGACCCCATCACTTTCTTGCTTGATAATCTACGAAACAAAACAAGCGCTCTGTGTGAATGCTGAGCCTGAATGCTGCTTGTTTTAGACAAAACAACATGCAGAGTAGTGCTGGTGTTAGAGAAAAATCCTAAATGTGTCTAAACGCTGAGGGGTGTTTTTTAGTTTCTAAAATTTAATGTGCATTTAAGCAAGTCCTCTGTAGGTTGAGTCACATAATTGTTTCCTGCTCAAATGTAGTAAGCTACTTTTGACCCCATTTTGCTGTTCTAGGGTGCAGTAGAGCCCATGCAGATTGACGTAGATCCACAAGAAGATCAGCAAAATGCACCTGATATCAACTATGTGGTCGAGAACCCCACTCTGGTATGTGCTGGTTGAGGGCTAGTGGGTTACGTTTCTTGGTCATGGCCTCTTCCTTTAAGTTTTTTTAAAAACTCCCTCATTTTACTCCTTGTCAAATTTTTATTTAGAGATTAATGGATTCTCTTCAAAGCAAGGTGGGGTAAGAACAGCAGTGACTTCTGCTGTAGCTTGTCACATATTGACGTCTGCTGCACCTTCTGAGATGAAGGAGGAATTGCTGTTTTGTGACTCGCTGCGTGATGCCTGTTTGACAGTTTCCGTTCTGAAATAGTTTAGTACATCTCTGGTTACTTACAGAGATGTCATTTCTTTATTTTGAGGGTTGTTCTTTGATGAGCAAGGCTCAGGTGCTTTAAGTATACAATTAAGATAAAATTCTTTCAACATTTGATCCTCTGGAGACTGGCAAAAACCCACAGAGCTGTGGAGTTATAAAAGGCTGTGTTTGCTTATATCAGTTTCTTCAATTTTTAGTTAATAGTTTAAAATTTTGGCCAATTTTTATGTATCAGCTCTGTAACAGTGAGAGATGGGTGTTGTAGAAGAGAACAAAAATGTGTTAACTGGAAAAAGTTAAAGCAACGTTAAAAGTGCAAAATAAAGCATTCAGTTAGGAAGCTTTGGATATCATATAATGTCTGAAGCTTTAATTTGTTCCTCTTGTCTCCGTGCTTTATAACAGTTGTCACATGGTTATTCACTGTTTATTGCATGGCCCTCTATGTTATTGTTGTTTTGTGTTTTTGTTTCTTTGATTGGTTTTGGGTTTTTCAGCATATGACCTGATACCTTGTTTGATTTCATTGCATTTCAATTCGGTTCTGAAGCTAGAGTGATGAAGCAATTATGTTGTGACCTTTATGTCTTTGTTATTACTATAGCATCCAAGTGTTCCACAAAAATTAGTGATTTTTTTTTCACTATAACTGATGTAAAGGACATAACTCCCCTTTGACATTCAGAGAGCTGAGGAGTAAAGTGAAATTACCCAGTGATTTCAGGAGTATTGTGCACGATGGGGCATGAAACTGTGGAAGAAAGACTGCTCCTGTCTTTAATACTTTTCAAGTTCTGTAGCAAATAAAGCTGGAATCCTAAATACAAATTTTCAGTGCACACAGTTCTGTTTCAGTCTCAGAGCAAGATCATTCTTGCACTGAATCAGGCAAGAATCATTTTGGAAAATGCTACTGTGATGCCTATAGCGGGGTCTTAATTTAGACATACAAGGGTGAGGGAGTCGGACACGACACAACATGCATATTAAATGTGGAGAAGCAACCTGAATCTAGTGTTTCCTGCTGCCTGAATACTTGACTTTGCCCTGAACATTCTGCTATGGTTGTTTGCATGTGTACTTCTGTCTTTAGGAAATCTCCCTGCAATACCATGTCATAGCTTTACATTTTGGGCTTTCTCTTCTCCACTCCACTGCAAGGCTTAAAATCTGTTAAGTGTTCAGAATTTAAACCTCAGATCCTTCCTCAAGAATAAGAGACCCTATTTGTTCTCAAAGGAGATGTTTTCAGAGATTAGTATGAGCAAAAAAATGCAAATCATCATATGGAAGCTATTTTTCAAGGAAAAACTTCATCTGGAATGGTTGTCTGATTTAGGAAACTTCAGCTCAAAGAGTGGAATCTTGACAAAATTATTACTAGGTGATATAACGAATGCTTAAAGTTGGTGAGCTGATTAGCCTTAATGGATAGCATTACAACTGAAATAAAAAAAGGTAAGTTGTAATATAATGCATATTTCTGAGGAAATTACTGATGTTTGAAGAAAGCAGAAATTGAATAATCTTACCTGATTTTTTGTTTGTCTGAGTCATGTTGCCCGCTATGAAGGGTCAGGACTGTAGGAAAACCTATGCAGGTCACAGTGTAGTAGCCTGATTTACTGTTGCCATCTTTGCCGTCTAAGACCAAGTTTTGTTTGCAGGATTTGGAGCAGTATGCGTCCAGCTACAGTGGTCTGATGCGAATTGAGCGGCTGCAATTTATTGCTGATCACTGCCCACAGCTGCGGGTGGAAGCTCTCAAGATGGCACTGTCATTTGTCCAGAGAACTTTCAATGTTGATGTGTACGAAGAAATCCACAGAAAGTTATCTGAAGCCACCAGGTACTAAGAGATCATGGGAACCTGGAGAGCTTTTTTGACTGAGTTAAGACTGGTGTGCCACAGTGGGGGACTTTGCATGTCATACTATCATGTTCCTTATACAAATTGTCTTTGCCCTTAGAATTTGGTAGCAGTGAAGCGTATGCGTTCAGGCCTAAGGTCTCATGCTTTTTGTAGAAGATTAAACACAGAAGAATATCTCATTCTGAAGCCTTAGTGTTTTAAAAGGCTATAGGTAGATATTGAGGAGAGATTAGTCCTTGCAACTGCTTCAAATATTAATGAACACAGTTGTCTCCTTAGGTAGATTATGGAGATGAAGCCTCTGCTACGTGCTCTTGTGTTCATAAATTAAAACCTTACCTAACTATTTGACTTGTTTTGTTTTTTTTCCTTCACCCCCCTCCCCCCCTAACAACAGGTTTGCTTTAAAGGGTAGCCTTTAATACTCCACTTATCCAGCCATACTTCCAGTATTTGCATTATTTTTGTTGCTATGCATATTTGTTGATTTCTTGTCTGTTTTGCCCTGGGAGTCTTTACCATCTATGTGTGACAGTATGTTCATTGCCTTCTTATATGTGAAAAGGATTGTTGGTTTAAAAAAAAAAACCAAACAAAAAAACCCCAACCAAACAAAAAACCTGAAAAAAGCCTCATAATGTGTTTGTCTGTTTAAAATATTGAAAAATGAGTTCAGTGCAAGTAGATACATTGATCTGAGCTGAATGGAAAAAGCAGTTGGATAGTATCTGTACAGCGTAGCTTTGCTGTCAAGCCATTGCAATATGGCTGAGGAGAGAACTTGTAAACACGTGCACAGCGTCCCATATAGAGATGTTTGATGGGATTCGTTAGTGAGTTGTTAGAGTCACTAAATACTTTTATAGAATGTAACAATTCATTGCAGCGCTGTTACTAAATTGGTTTCTGTTGATTTATAGAGCAGGTTGTTTCTTTCAAATTAGCAGTGACTTGCTTGTTAATAAAATACCTGCAAAAGATCATTAGGATGATTTTGAGAAGAATTTCTGAACATCTGTGATGCTTATCTTACTGTTTTCACTGGATATCTTAGCAGTTGTCGTGGTTTAACCCAGCAGCTGGCAACTAAGCATTGGAGAGCTGCTTGCTCACCTCTCCCCGTCCTCCCCAGCGGGTTGAGGAGGAGAAATGGACAAAAGGGGAAACTCGTGGGTTGAGATAAAGACAGTTTAAGATGACAACAAAGGAAATACTACTATTAATAATAATGGTAATAATGAATATGCAAAATAAACTATATACAATGCAATTTTTCTCACCACCTGATGACCGATTCGCAGCCAGTCCCCAAGCAGTGATTGCAGCCAGTCTGCAAGCAGTGATTGCAGAAACCGGAAATCACGAATTTCGCTAATTCCTGAAAAAAGTTCGAACTTCTGGACAAGAGAGCATTTGAACTCGTGGAAACGAGAAGAGCAGATAGCCTCCTTCCTGCCTGGGCAACCCCCATTTGTAAACTGAGCATGCTGTCTATGGTATGGAATATTTCCATTGGCCAGCTTGGGCTGGCTGATACTCCCTCCCGGCCCCTGCCCCCCTGCTGATTAGCTGAATATGAGAAACTGGATACGTCCTTGATTTCATAGCAACAGCTAAAAACATCAGTGTTATCAACATTCTTCCTCTACTAAATCCAAAATACAGCAGCTACTGGGAGGGAAATGAACTCTGTCCCACCCAAAACCAGGACAGCAGTCTATTTCTTTTTTCCCCACCATCCTTGTTTTCTCTTTGGTCTGTTTTGTGTATGCAGCACTGTTTAGGGTAACAGGGCCAGGTACTTAGCAGACCTCTGTTTTGAAAAGTTTGCAGTGTAATAACTGCATTCAAACTATTTTCTTTCAGAGAACTGCAGAATACACCTGATGCTGTCCCTGATAGTGGAATAGAAGCCCCACCTCTTGACACAGCTTGGGTTGAAGCTACACGCAAAAAAGCTCTTCTTAAACTGGAGAAACTCGACACAGATCTGAAAAATTACAAAGGGAACTCCATCAAGGAGAGTATCAGGTGAGATGCAGGAGGCTCTGCTGGAGCAAGGAAGAGCATTTTGCTCCTCCAGGCACCTAACACAGGATGTCAACTGCATTCAGTGCCTTAGGTCAGTGTGTTGAGTTACTTGTTTGGAACAAACTGACTGTGTCCCTTTCTGAGCACACAGTTCATTGGTATTTTAATTCCTGTGCTCCAGGAGAGGCCATGATGACTTAGGTGATCATTATCTTGACTGTGGGGACCTCAGCAACGCTCTCAAGTGTTACTCACGAGCCCGTGATTACTGCACCAGTGCTAAACATGTTATCAACATGTGTCTCAATGTCATCAAGGTAGGAAGGTTTGCAGGAAATGGTACTTGGTGTCTTTCTGATAATCTGCTGTAAAGTTCACCTGTACTTTGCCCTGCTTACACCTCTGGTGTCTGCAGTGATACTGCTTATCTAAGTAACAGCATTTATCCATGCTTTTTTTACAATGTTTCTGTTCTCTGCAGGTCAGTGTCTACCTCCAGAACTGGTCTCATGTTCTGAGCTATGTTAGCAAGGCTGAGTCTACACCAGAAATTGCAGAAGTAAGGTCCTGCTCTTTAACTTGCATGAGTTTTCCCTTTGTTTCCTATCTCAAAAATATTTAAAACAATTTCTTCCTTTGCCACTTTAGGACTTGCTTTCTATAAGACTCCCATCATCTTACAGTCTGTTCTTCTTCTAATCCAGCCTCCTTAGCTGCTATACTATTTAATCACAGAATCACAGAATGTTAGGGGTTGGAAGGGACCTCTGTGGGTCACCCAGTCCAACCCCCCT